TCTTCTAAACAAAAAATATGGTTATACAGAAAGTTAAGCCGCAAAACAAATTTCTGTATGAAGGTCATGTGAACAATCTAAAATAACGTAGAATATCTTTTACATACTAATTATAACGTACTCTAGTTATGTCCTTGATTCCGCTGAATGAATCTTACTCTTAGAATCAGTGCAAAACCTTTTATCAGGACAAACCCAACTGAAATGAATTTTTTAAAAAAAATATCAAATCCGGTAGACAAAGTTATCATTACAATAACAATATATATATATATATATATATATATATATATATATATATATATATATATATATATATATATATATATATATATATATATATATATATATATATATACATATATATATATATATAAAATCTGCTGGACTGCTGCAGTGTTTTGTTGAAGAAAAACTCAATATTTTCAACTTTAAAACTTTTGATTCTAAACATTTCTTTTATGTCTCGATCAGTTCATAAGTGCATGTAAATCAATCCATTAAGTTTATTAAGGATATATATATGTATATGATTATCATGTTTTGGTATACAAAGCACCCACATCTACAGCGATACCATTGGATTTTTATTCATTTGAACTAATATTATATCTCTTAAAAAAAGTTAGGTGAAATAGGGTTATGTGGGGTCGAGTGGGATGGTGTGGGATGGGATGGGATGGTTCCTTTCCATGAATCCCCGAGATGCTTGACACTTCATGATATAATTTGTTAATTTACTGTAACATACAATGCTACATCATATGCATATATTGTTATCCATCGAGGCCATACTATTATCAACAAGCGAACATTATGGCATGATGTTTGACTTTTTTAGTATATCACAGTACACAGACACATTAATGTCATCACAATAGTCGTACAAAATATATAATGTTTTACAAATTTAAGCCAATTGCTCAATTTATAGATTACTAGAGGTAAAATAATTTAGTGTAGTCTTTTGTGTGCTGTTTATCCTTGAATGCCTGTTTCGTAATAAAATATGACAAATTGTTAAAGCTACGTAACAAATCTAAATCACACACACGCACACACACCATTATTGTAACATATGATCTGCATAAAGAATGAGCTTCACAACACTTATGTTGCATCTTTCCACTGAAAGCAATTAGGTCTGACAGCGTTTTGTGTAGGATGTTGATACGATGTCAGCTGGACGTCTACATATTTGTGTAGGTGAAGTATTAAGCTTGCGAAATCCATCTCGTAGAAAGAAACAAGTGAATTAACGTCAGCTATCCCTACAATATGCAGAGCCGAATTTTAGTAAAAAATGTAAATGTTTTATGTCACTAGTGGTTAAAGCGTCTTCCTCGGATTCAGGAGGTCGTTGGTTCCATCCCAGGCCGAGGCTTTAAAAAACTTACCCAACGCTTGACATCACTATAAACTACCACACTGCAGACATCGTAGCAATATGATTGAAAGTTTTTAAAACTACTATAAAAAACCAAATCACACACACACATGCCTACCTTTCTTCTGCTTACGCTTCACGAGCTTGCCTCCTAACCCATGCACCCTGTATACTATGTATTTACCTGTATAATCCATGTCGATGATTTTCTTGGATTAATAGGATTTTAAATAACACGACAGCTGGAGTTGTTCTAGAGTAGGGAATATATTACCGGAACTGGAAATTGTGTTTTCCAAGACTTCTTAATTCTATACTTGCTTATTTACGAATGCGCGAGGACCATTCCATAAAAGATCGTCATAATCTCACTGTGATCCAGTTGTCTTAGTCCATTCAAAAAGTTCTTTTTGGAAATCAGTTTATAGTAGCATTGCATGAACGACCGCTTTTTGTGCTTAACATTATATCATATACTGTTCTTATATTTTCACGAATAACAAGCCAAAAGACAAATTTGATTATCAGTAATTCAATGCTTCAATATGTGTTTTAATTCTGTTAGCAAAACATGCTGAATTCTCTAAAAAAAACGATGGATAGATCTTTTGGCCTCAAATTATTTAAATAATGTTTATGTATATCACCATTAGTTATAATAATATTTATCTGCTTCGCCAAAAGTGTATTTATTTAAAAGAATAATTTATTGACTCTACCTAGAACGACCCAAATGAAAATTCAATAGCTAAAGAGATATGAATCATGGTTTTATTAGTCTGCATTTTTTTCTGAGAGAAGCACAGCTTTCGAAAAAGACATTGCACCATATTAAATTGTTTTAATTGCATTTGCAATATTTATTATAATCAACAGCGTAAGATAAAAAAGCATTGCAGTTCTGAACACAAAACAGACAATTATTGACATAAGATCCACATATATTACGTCTCTAGACGCATAACTGCATATTGAAGAATATATTAATATTCGGTTAAATCGATACTATCGTGCTTCCTTTCTTGAAGTTCAAAATTGTTTCAATTAAAGCCGTACTAGACAGATCAGTCATACAAATATAATATATGCTATATCACTAGCTTAACGTACGTTTTCTGAAACGGGAAAGATAATAAAATTGTCTATTTCTACTCAATCACCCCTCCTCTGATTTATTGTTTTAGAAATAAATACTTGTTGTTGATAGCATGGAATTATATATAACCTTAACAACCCTAAATTAATTTTCAGAAATTGTTAGATAACACAGTAGAGATATAAAAGCAATATAAAGGAAACAATGTTATTAAACCAAACGTTTTAACCTACCATTAATAAATGTTTAACTTAGTAAAATCCATATGTTAAAACTGTTAATTAAACAGTATCTTAGGTTTGGATTTTTTATTGTCCTCTTGCCTTTCTACACAGCACCAACATGTGGAGAGATACACTCTTATGTTTAATATAATCGTTGTTGTTCTCTCACAACCTTAATGGTAGACAAATGTATACTTATTTAGATTTCGTGTCGTAGTTTAGCTTCCTAATGAAATCTGTTTTATTGCTGACCCTTATATTAGGAACGATTTTGTGAACAGAGATAGGAGGTTCTCCAATTTTTTGAATTCACGCAAACTGAAGATTACATCTAGAACAACTTTCGGGTCAAGCCAGGGTCATTCAAAGCAGTCATTTTTTTATGTAAGTCGCTCAGTTGAAAGATTTAGTACAATAGTGCCATATTGGATCCAGGACAGGAATTTTCACAAAATTATGTCATTTCTGAAGAAACAGGCGTCAGCTTCCTGATTTCAGAGCTACTTTTATCTTCTAAGATACTACTAATAAAGAAAATCGAGAATCTAAAATATTACATTCCATTAGAATGTTCTAAACTAACACGGATAAGTGTAATACCACTTCTAATACCAATGCTGAGAAATCGACGTAAACAATAATAAGTTTCGTTGAGGAAGTTCGATAATATTTTACTGTTAACAAAATAATTTTAATGTCGTTGATTATGTCATTGCACGATAATATTCATAATTATATTGAATTATTCTTTTTATTAAAAAGCATATCATGCTGTGCTACTAACACATATTCCGGTATCGGGAGGGATATAATTTGATGTACTACTACATCACTGTCAAGTCATAAATCATTATTTATCGATATATCAAACTTCAAATGGAAGTAGAATATTCAATCAAAATGTATTGATTATTATGTTGGTTAGCAAGTAATTACGGATCTAATGTTTTATTTTTTGGTCTGTATGTCTTGTTACCTATCAGCAAGTTTTCTGCGCTAATTTAAAACCAACAAAAGCGCCCAGAAAAAATACAAAAACAATAAAGGAATTTGTTTATTAATATTTTAACAAGTTACATATATTAAGATACACATTTAAAATTTGATTTTAAGATACAACCCAAAATCCATTAAACCCTTACAATTTAGTCGCATAAAAATAGCATTCGAGAATTAAATGATTAAAGCATACATGATCTTCAGAAACATTTTAGAATGACAGAATGATAAACAGATACCATTTGCATTATTTAAAAGCGATCTCTTAAAATGTGTACTCACTGCCTTATCGAAACAACGTGTTGTGATGTCCCTTTTTCATGCGCTCTTTTCAGAAAAGACGGCGGATAATCCATGGTCCCAATTTTTTAATTAGGATTGGACCTGCGCCTACTATTTCATTAGGGTGTACAATCATGATATTTATTTGATTTGTTCCTACTGCGAGTTGCCTGTTTTTCAACAATTATTCTTCCTGTAAAGTATAAATATATACGGCAGTTCGAAAATTTATGTTTGTAACAAATTTTAATGTTGTTGCATTGACTCAGCTTCGCCATTTGTTTACCAACAGCACTGCTATTCGTCAGTTTGAAGGATTGCATCTCAAAATCCTTAGTAGTTTTTGTCTGTAAGAGGCATTACATTCTAGAAACTGTTGTCTACAGTCCTATTTGTATGTACACAAACTAAATCCCCAGATAGTCATGTATTTCTCTTTATATTTTAATAGACATGATGCTTTTGTTTTTTTTTTGTTTTTGTTTGTTTCTAAATTTTAGTTAATTTATTACGAAGGTTTCGTGCATGATCATTCATTTAACTTGTATCTGAAAATTGCTTTATTACAGCCTTCTTGATTAGTCTGATGTGGTATTTTTGTTTCCTTTCTTTCGCCGCGTTAATGTCATGAATTTTGCATTCCTTCATTTGCATTCATTCATTAATGCACGAGTTTCGCACAACTAAATGCACTCAACACGTATATAAGGTACCTTGTTAAAATTTCGCATCTGGTTTATAAAGAATAGACAGAGTGAATGACCGAATATGATACGTCATTAATGTAGGCAATTGTGATGACTGTGTGCGCGGTTTCATTAGACAACCATCATACTGTCAGCATCATAGAAAATGACACAACTAATTTTTATGTTGATAGGTTTTAATTTAAGGATATAACACGTTGAGGCTGTGATGCTTATCAGGTTTACCACAACATAATATTGTCATATGTAATCGGTTATGTTTTACTGTGAATAAGAAATATACAAAAAAGCAACAAAAAGTGATCGCTCCGGTAGCCTAGTGGTTAGAGCGTCCACTGCGGATGCGGGGGTCGCAGGTTCGAACCCCAACCGAATCATACCAAAGACTTGTACAAATACTAACAGGTACTAACACCTGCCTCGCTTAGCGCTCAGCATTAAGAGGTTAGTTGTAGAACTCGAAAAATATACTGGAAAAGTATTTGATTTGACAACTGAGTCACTCAAGAAAAAAACAAAACTGAAAAAAAAATGTATAAGATATCTTACTTTGGTATAGTCAAAATGGTGATTGCTGGTGGATGCAGTTCAGGTAAAACATGATTTGTTAAATGCTTGATCGAACACAAATCGATATTATTTGTGATCTTCCTAAATAAAGTATTTTTTAGTGTTAAAAAGAGTTGCAATTCGTCTACACATTACTCCGATTAGGCCAATGAGAATCCATTTCGTTAGCATAAGATAATTGGATTATATCTCACTCTAGTCAAAATCATCTCGACATTTTAATTACATGTTAGAAGAAGCCCCAGAAAAATATTTGGGGTACGCGAAAAGGACAAAAGATTAATTTCTATGTTATTTATACTACATAAATTTAGTTCAAATCAGTTTCAATGCTCATTAATGGAGCTATCTATAGACACAACTGGTTGATACAACAGTCGATACTCAAGCAAAATAAATCATCTTTAAAACAAGTGTTAAGTAGATCTTGAGGTGTTACCAACAATAAAACATAACATATTCAAATCCTAATCTGCAACCGACAGACAAAAACGGAGAGCGGTGTAATTATTTCACATTATCAATAATATTTTTCTAAAATTTCCAGATAGAACAAAGACGGGTAATACAGCTAGAACGCGCGTGTAGTCACTAAAACCCCAATCTGACGTCTTCATCCCCTCCACGACTATTCGTCCTTCGTTACTGATGTTGCCAGCCGAATCTGGTTTTAGATGTCTCCTCACCTGGCGAAAAACGTAGAAATAAATCTGTAGAGAAACCTTCAACTTCTACTTCGTCAATGTCTTCTTCCACTACAGCTACTACTGCTGCTGGGCCAAAAATGAGAAGTTACAAAGTTTTCTGAAATGTCCAGACACAAAGAGGTATTATTTATTCCATGGACAACACCGTATCATCCAGTTGTATATAAAGACAAGTTGTTGTTGCTCTTCGACAAAATGAGAACAAATAAAACGAGATCAATTCCAAAATTCCCAAACACCCTCCCCAAACCCAGTGTGGCAGCTCTGTTGACAACTTACTCTACTCCGAGGCGTAGAAAATAAAAATGGTGTTCACACCCTCTTCGACATAAATTTAAAAAAAAAAAATCAAGACAAAAAGGAAATATAAATGAAGCAAATATTTGAACAAATAACCGATTAGTTATGTGGAACCATCCTTTCCAACTCGCACTATTCGTTGTACATGCCGATCATTAAAGGCCAATATAGTAAACTATCTAACCATCCTTTCCAACTCGCACAATTCGTTGTAGATGCTGATCATTAAAGGTCAATATAGTATACTATCTTAAAGCGTCAAACATTGGGTGAATTATTTAACGAAAACAACACAGATACACCTATTTCTAGCAATCACGTCTATGTAATAATTCAACTCTTTGTCAGGGACTAAACTCAAGCCTAAAAGCTTACCTCTGCAAACTGCATGGAGTTGCATTCAATATCAATTGACGTTAACGTTGCCCAGAACCATTGGGCGAAATTGGCTAAAAAGCCAAAACAATGAAGCAGGAATAGATCAACAATGGCAAACTGATAAATACTTGTTTTGTGTTATTAAATTCTTTTCAAAGTCGGATTGCTGGTTTCTATGACATCACGTAAGTTCATTGGTTCTGCGAATATTCACAAATTGTCTTGAATCAAAGTCGCTCAAGCCCTCTGCAACGGCAAGCAGAAAAGGTACCGAATGCCTTGACCATGCTTCCCAAAAAAGAAATTAAAAGGCCACAAAACAGTTTTGCACTACTAAAATTCAAACAATAAAGCCTATGTGGTGGAACGTTTTAAACGAAATTTGAGTGAAAGTGGAAATATTTGACATATCAGCATGCTCGGAAAGACATGGTTTCAAGTCTTGTCAAAGCTGTTAATTAGTCGTACATTAGTAGCATCTAATATACACCAAAAGAGTTGACGCCTAATAACGAAGTCGCTGTGTTTGATCATTTGTATGGGAACAAGAAGACCAGAAAAGAGACTAAAGTGTTGAGCACCGGAACCTGGGTTGACATTTGAAAACCAAAACGCACTTTGACAAAGACTATTATATCGAACTGGATGATATAATTAGTTCCTCTTACAGGACAAATGCGTTCCGTGACCCACCTTCTACAAAATGGAAGATATGAACCGCAAACTGTATAATTGTCCGAGTTACATATATTGACCAATTTGTCCTTGATGACATGTACGATACCAAAAACATTATTGATCAAAGAACGATTCAAATAGAAAAACATCATATCCAAAGCGCCAAAGAAGAAGTCACGAACACGTTATACACTTCATCCCTCCAAGAACTACAACAGCAACAACCACCTAAACTAAAACCATTTTCTTCAGGATTTGTGTAATGGATTAAGCCACTAGATTATTGGTTGGAAAGGTGAGTTTGCGTTAAGGAGATATAAAATCTGTTAATTATGTTACTAAGCCATTCTATCAGCTATATTCTTTCTTATCTCTCGGTGAAATACACCGACAGCTAGTTTTGCCTATGGCAGTTATAGCTTTTCCTGTCATATTGTGTCGCTGGGACCCTTGTACAAAACTCAGTCCTTTGATATATAATGATTCCTTGGAAACAAGAACAATCGAACTATGAATAACCAAGTTGTACATTACCTATGGACAGCTTTACGGATGCACTTCCCAACAATAAAATTATATTGTTTCAAGGCCTGATTCTTGGTAATGGAATAACAAAAAATAACCCCAGTCTGCACAAAGGAATCACAAAGCCCACTGGAAAGTGCCTCTCCTACAAATAATTTATTCCATTAAAGTCATGAATATTACCTTATGGCAGTAAAAACCACTTTCGACTTAGAAATACTCTAGAAACAAGTCCAAAAACACTGACAAAAATGATCCTGGCTGTTACATAAAAGCATTAATTCTATTGTTGTGAGATTTAATGCCAAATCGTTTAGTAATACTCGACATCTCATTGTAACGATTGCAACTATTCTAAACTAATCGGTTTGGCAAAACACTACAAATAGCCATCTGTGGTGTATTTCATAATAATATCCGCATGTTCGTCTCCTCTAGTTGAACTTTTTGAATACCAAAACGGTGTATATTTTTTTTCTCTCAGCTGTTCGCAATTCTAGGCGAATACGACCACTGCATAGCACTCAAAAGAGATCAATAATAGCAACATATTTTTCAATTATTTTGACTACGCCGTCGAATTTTGCGTATTCTTAAATCGTCATGAGAATCATTTTTTTTTTCCAACGTGGATTCTGTCATCTTCTTATGATGAAGGTCGAAAACATATACCGTTTACCGAGAATATGTGTATCCTCATTACAATTGTGCCAATAAACGTATATTTTAAGTGCAAACGAGATCTTAGAAAAAATAGTATATTCTTAAACGGAAAATTCACTCTTAATGGAAACTTTGAGAACGATTCAATACCGAAAACTAATGTATCCTGTGAACCAAGTAGTTGTTTGACAACGAGGACAATTTTGTAGGGGTGGGCTGTCTGAAAATCACCCTTTCACATAGTTGCTCCCAAGAGAGATTCTTGGATTTTATGTTTCAGAAATTGTTGATTTGAGGCAAACTAAAGAATTTAACATAAAGGAGGTATATGGGACCCCGAATGGGCGAGTGGTCTAAACCGCTCATCGATACGGATCATAGCCATCGCACCTCTGTCGGCTTGGGTTCGAATCTGTGGCTTGGCTAACATTGGTACGCGAGAACGTCTACCAGTATTTTCTTTTGTTCGGTGGTTCTTCCCGGGTTTTTCTGGGTTCTTCCTCCATCATTAATAATGGCTGCCATATATAGTCCATCTTGTGCTGAAAATGGCGTAAACCCTATAGCAACTAAAACAACAAATATATATACATATATATATATGTATATGTATATATATGTATATGTATGTATTGTATGTATGTATGTATGTATGTATGTATGTAAATATTTATGTATGTATGTATATATGTATATATATGTATATGTATATATATGTATATGTATATATATGTATATGTATGTATGTATGTATGTATGTATGTATGTATGTATGTATGTATGTATGTATGTATGTATGTATATATATATATATGTATATATTAATGTATGTATGTATATATGTATATATATATGTATGTATATATATATATATATATATATATATATATATATATATATATATAAATATATATATATATATATATATATATATATATATATATATATATATATATATATATATATATATATATATATATATATATATATATATATATATATATATATATATATATATATATATATATATATATATATATATATATATATATATATATATATATATATACCACAGAAAGAATCAATCATTAAATCACAATTGTAATCTCATAATTATTAGAAATAAGCAACGTGGCTTATAAACGTTACAAATAATAAAGTAGTATGAAATCCTAGACCAAGAGGCTTAGCTGCGCAAGGTGGCAACGATTAGGAACGAAATTTCAAACTAAATACAGTAATTAGCAGCCTTAGTACCCAAGTTTGGAATTTATAAGGTATTCAAAATCCTGGACAATCCAATATAAATAGTTTGAGCCCACCTGATTATAACAACAATATTCAGATGGTGCTGATGACGGTTGTGACATCTGACTATTTTTATAATAAATATCCTCAGATATATAATTATCAAACTCAGAATAACTGAATATTATTTCATTTTTATTCTCCATTCAACCCATGATGCATCACCACCGATTTGTAATTCTTTTGGCAATCCTGCACATTTTTTGCTGATATAAAATGAATATTTGGCAATTATAACCGCGATATTA